AAGAATCACAAAGTTCCAACTCTGTCCTCGCTGGAGAATTCTTCTGTTAGGGTTTGGGTGTATATACTTCCCTCAAACACACACACACACACACACACACACACACACACACACACACACACACACACATCCCAAATGACAACAATATTATGTCCCAGCATGGAGAAGGGGTAGAGGGCACAAAGTCCCACCCCTAATCAAGAAACTGCTTGTAATTGGTGCATTCTGGGAGAGAAAAAAATCAGTTTTCTTTAATGAACTGACTCTGAGTATACCAATCACACCCCAGGGCAGGAATACTGGACCAACACAAACTGGACCCTCCCCCATTGTGTGTGTGTGTGTGTGTGTATACTGTGCCTTTTTTAAATTTCTGTGTTAGTTTTGGCTTTTTTCAAGAGAGAGAATATCAAGTAGGATGCGTAGGGACAGAGGACCTGGCAGAAGATGGAGGAGGGAAGAGTACAGCCAAAACATATTGTGTGAAAACATTTTAAAATACATTTAAAACTCAAGATACCTTTCTCTGGAAAATGATTAGTTAGTTACATTTTTCACAATGGAAATGACAGTGTATTACTATGGTTTGGATATGGTTTCAATGTGCCCCCCCACCTGTCCAGGTTTCCTGTGTTGACATTTTATCCCATGTGAGGTATTATGTGTGTGGAAACTTAACTGACTATGCTATTTTGAGATGGGCTTTGGGGTGGAGGCTACAATGAAGGTCATTAGGGTGGACCCCCCCATGATTTAATCCTGGTGGTTAAATAAGGCAAACAAAGGAGATGCCCACAGACTCTCGTGCTCCATCTCTGTTATGTCAGAGGAGGGTATTGAATCTCCCCTGGCTGTGGGTGCCAGGAATCGGAGAGCAGCTTTTAAACACTGAGCCGTCTCTCCAGACCCAGATCACTTCTTCTTCTTCTTCTTCTTCTTCTTCTTCTTCTTCTTCTTCTTCTTCTTCTTCTTCTTCTTCTTCTTCTTCTTCTTCTTCTTCTTCTCCTTCTCCTTCTCCTTCTCCTTCTCCTTCTCCTTCTCCTTCTCCTTCTCCTTCTCCTTCTCCTTCTCCTTCTCCTTCTCCTTCTCCTTCTCCTTCTTCTTCTTCAGAATTGTTTATTATGTTCTGCCTTCATGGGCACCAGATCTCCTTACAGATGGTTGTGAGCCACCACATGGGCACTGGGAATTGAACTCAGGACCTTTGGAAGAGCAAGCAGTGCTCTTAACCACAGAGCCATTGCTCCAGCCTCCCACATCTTCTTTTAAGGGGATACACAGGCACTTCCTATTGTTTTGCTCACAGCATTCTTAACACTCAGCGGTACAGCTGCCACGCCTCAGGTACAATTTCCAGTGCTGAAAAATGAAGGAACAAGATTCCTCTGCTCTGGGCCTGGAGAGATGGTTCAGAGGTTAAGAGCACTGACTGCTCTTCCAGAAGTCCTGAATTCAATTCCCAGCAACCACATGGTGGCTCACAACCATCTATAATGAGATCTGGTGCCCTCTTCTAGTGTTTAAGAATACATGCAAAACACTGTATATATAATAAAAAAGAAAAAAAAAGATCCTGTCTCCGGTTCTCATGGAACTGGCATTCTAGATCTCTTATTCAAACCAGGCATGATTTATTTAGCAAATGTCCCAGCTGTGACATTTACTTCACTTGATTCCAATTTTTGGTCCCTCGGCAATGCTTCTGTGAGGATTGCATTAATGTTCTTTAGTATTGTTACCCTGGATGTTCTTTTTACTTACTCCGTCTTCTTAGAATAAATTCTTGGAAGTATAATTGCTGAAAGAAGTGGACTGTGTGAATGAGTGTGGTGGAGTGCCCATTTCCATCAGTCTGCCTATCTTCAATTAGTTTGCTGGAACTTACTGTCTTTCCACCCCCAAAGGATTTACTTGGTTTTAAAAAATGTGTCTCTATACATGTCTGTGCATTTATGTGCATTGAGTGCCTGTGGGTGCCCCTGGAGGCCAGATGGCCTCCGACACCCTGAGTTGGAGTTATAGGCAGGTGTAAGCAGCCTAACCTAGGTCCTGGGAACAGAACCTAGGTCCTGAGTCCTCTGAAGCAGCCATAAGTGATTTTATTCACTGAACCACCTCTCCAACTCCTTTGCCCTTTGCTAATATCACTACAGCAACAAATAAACACTGATAGAGAAAGCCTTCCAGATTTCTACCTGGCTTAGATATTAACAGAGTCACTACCCTTTAGAGTCCAAAAGCAAACAAACAAATGAACAAAAACACTAGTAGAACCCTTGGTTTGCAAACGTCCAATCATGTGTTTTGGGACATGTTTTTCAAGCCCTGTTCTTGGGTCTTCACATCTCTAAAGAGTCACTAGGCATCCTGTAACTAGTTCTTCTTGTGCCTGCTCATTACCAGCTTCCAGTCTGAGAGCGGTCATCTAGAGAGGAGAGGAGGCAGCACTGGCTAATTGTGCTAATAGTAAGTCACCATCTGTGTTATGTGTTGCGATGCATGACGCTGGGGAGATGAACAGCAGGGAGACGTGATGGATTCAGAACCCTGGTAAGAATAAGCAAGTTGTGAGTTGAGATATGGAAGATTTCTAGTGGGTTCTCACCAGGCCAAGGTAAGGAGATGTCACTGAGGGGCCGAGGGCAGGGGCAAGGATCACTGTAGAAACGACTTCTACCGGTTCATTTTCAAAGGTGCCTGGAGACAGCACTGGTCTCGCTGCAAGTGAGCAGACACATTAGACTCTAGAGATCAGAGCCCCGCCAATGCCTGCTAGTCTTGATACCCCTGTCACAAACTAGAAGTTTAGAACAGAACAGTGCGCACAGCCAAGCCTGCCTTCGAGGCCATATGCCTGGCAAGCTTTAAATTAAGCAGGATGTGAGATGTAGAGATGTCCCACACATGGCTTCTTTTTTTAAAAGATGATGGAAGCAACAGACAGAACAGTAAGACTGACCCCGATGATGGGGGATGAAGAAAGGGAGGAAGGGTTTGCTTACACTCAGAGTTTCAAACCTTTGCATTCAGCCAGCACACCGGGCCTTGCAAAGCAGTAAACTGCCCAGCTGAGTCTCCAGTGCTCTTATTATAAAGTGAGGGTCATTGTTTCTCACGGTTACGAAAAGGGTGTGTGTGTCATCCTATGCCATGTCAACATAAAAACAATTTTCACCTCAACAAGTGACATAGTTTGTATTAGGAGTGACTGTGGTGTGAGAACTGTCCTCTGATGCCAGGAAAGGGTTAGGGTGGCGGGAGGCTTGGAGGGAAGAATGGAGGACAGATGAGACACTGCATTCGCCAGTACATCGGTGTTAAGCCGTTTCTTACACTGTTTAAATAAAACTCGGAAGTCAGATATCAGAGAAGCAGCAGCAAAGTGACCAGTGACCTCTTCTCTCTCTCCTTCCTCCACCCGAGAAGAATCATTCTAAGCCCCTCCATACTACTTGCTGTCTCTCTATGTCTTGGGTCCCCCAAAACCTCTATGTCTAATTCTAGTTGTCACCCAGTAGCTAGCAGCCTCAGGAGTATCAGAGTGTGATCAAAATATCCCACAACACAGGTGGCAGGCAAGCAAGCAGTCAGCTGGCGGCAGGCACCCAGGCTTACACTGATGTCCATGGGCCACACACAGACAGACACACAGGCCTACACACGGACTCACGAGTCTACAGTCAGACACACAAGCCGACTTGTGAAGGCTCAGTCCTCTGACCTCAGGCTGTATTAATTCAGAGCCCATACAAAAGTGGCACTCTGCCAGACATGGTTGTATAAAAGATGACATCACTGTTTACTTTTGAGTTCCAAGGACGTCCAGTGTCAGCCACTTTGTGCTGACTCAGTGTGCCCCCCCTCCATGTGCAGCACTTGTTATCTTGGTTCATATCAGCACAGTGTTGTCAAGACATAGACTGACCCCTGAGGTCACCCGAATCCCATGCTCCCATGTAGCAGAGGCTTCATGAAAAGAACAAATGAAATTAGAAGAAAAATTAAGACACATCTAAAATTGATCAGTGGAAATATCAGGTAGGTGGTTACAGCAAGGTGGGGACACCTCTGTTGTAGGACGCAGATGCTATCTGGTGACATTCTGAGCTTTGGGGTTGGGAGAAGACAGGAGCTAAGCTAATACATCAAAAGGTTTCACCTGACAGTCACAGGGATTCTAGGTTAGACCCAGAGATGGGAAAGGAATGGCTAACAAGAGGGTTAAGGATGACCCAAGACAAACAGTAATTAGGCTCTGAACCTGCAACATTCCAACTTCCCCACAGTCACTGAAGTTCTGATCAGCTACTCAGCCTTCAGTGGAAGGCTTGGTGGGGGGTGGGGTTTATTTCCAGAACTTTGCTTTGCAGATACTTCCCCACCTTGCTGCCTTTGGATTTATGGTTCTGGAAATCTCTGATGATCTTCTATGGGTGTTTTTTCTCTTTATTAGCTAGTAGTTTAAGTGACATCCCCTTAGAGAGGCCAGGACCTCATGCCTATCCTTAATCATTAACTGCCCCCTCCCTGTGTCAATCACTTTGTTATTTGACCCTATTTCTTATTTTTCTACATAACCTTTCCCATGGATTCTGACATTCACATTAAAATATTTAGCTCCGTTTTATTTGAATTTGAGTGTGGTGTGCATGGATTTTAATTCATGCTTCAGAAGGTTGAGCTGGTTCAGCAGAAAGGGGGGTGCTTGCTATCAAGACTGCCAACTTGAGTTCGATCCCTGAGACTCACAAAGTGGAAGGCACACACATACACACACACACCACACAAAATAAATAAAATACAATAAAAACACTACTTAAAAAATAAATGCTACCTTTGCAATATGTATTTAGCAGCCAGTTAAAGCAGGTTTGCTGGACGAAAGAAAAGCGCTTCCTTGGTGCAAAAGTGACAAAAATCAGGGATGCCCGAGCGGAGGGGCGTGGCCGCCCGGAACCTAAGAGCCACGTTCCCGGAAGTTTCCGGCCAACGGCGGACACTTCCTGCGGATGGACGGTCCGTCAACAGCTGGTGGCCCCTGGGTGACGCGTAGGCCCGGGAGCGTCGAGCATGGACGGCCACAGCCTGGAGGAGTTCCGCCGGCGCTGGCAGGAGGAGTTGGCGCAGGCACAGGCGCAGAGGCGACGGCGGCGGCTCGAGGCCGGGGATCGGCGGGCGCGGAGGCCCGAGGCGGGGGCTCGCGGTGAGCAGGCCTCGGGGTACCTGGCGCTGGCGCAGGGTCTGCTGGAGGGCGCGGGCCGACCCCCGGCGCCCAGGCCCGGCCGGGCCGACAGGAGGGATGCGACCAGCCGCTCTCGCTCACCCCCTGACCGCGACGCCGCGGAGCCAGACGAGCCGCTGGTGGACCAACTCATCCGCGACTTGGTGAGTGGCCGGGACAATGATTTCCCCTGTGACCCACCCCACTTCGCGGCTACGACAGGGCGCCCCTGGAAGCCTTGGTTCTCCGCTGGGAGTTTTGCCTGCGAATATTTTGGGGGTGTTGACAGTTGGTGTGTGCGTGTTCTTGGGCTCGCAAGAGGATTGTTCCGAACAGCAATGGTTAGAACAAAGTCCCCAAAAGAGATTCCACTTATAAAGTGACTACGTGTGAGTTTGAGAAATCCTGCCCTAGAAACATTCTTAAAATTGTAAGAAAGGTTGACTTTGGAGGAAGGTCCAGAAAAAGCATAGGACAGACTTAATGTTCACCTTTCTCTGTATTGTTTGGTTTTCCTAAGTGTTACTAAAACAAAACAAAAATAAAACAACAACAACAAAATCAAACCCTTAAATTAGAAGAAACACAGACCGAGGAAGAAGTTAATACCCTTAGGAGGTTCTTAGCCTTGGGAGAATCAGATTGAGACCCCCCTGACAGGGATCCATAGTTCCCAGGTTAAGAGTTAGGCAACAGGAGGCTTTAGTGGCTTCATTCAAGGCAGGTTAAAAGAACATTTCCACAGCGTTCCAGTAGAGAATACTTTTCTGTATGTGAAGGTTGCTTAGAGCAATAATGGGATAGAGCTGGAGAGATGGTTCAGTAGTTACGAGAGCTGCCTGATCTTCTGTAGTTGGGTTCCTAGTACCTGTGTCGGTGGCTCACAACCTCCTGTAACTCCAGTTCCAGGAGATCTGATGTCTCTGGCTTTCAGGCACACTTGCACACAGGAGTACAACTCTCCACGAAGGCACACACATATACACATAAATTTTAAAAATGGGTGGATTTGCCGGGCGTTGGTGGCGCACACCTTTAATCCCAGCACTCGGGAGGCAGAGGCAGGCGGATCTCTGTGAGTTAGAGGCCAGGCTGGACCGACAGCCTCCAAAACAGAGAAACCCTGTCTCGTAAAACCCAAAAAAAAAAAAAAAAAAAAAAAGGGTGGATTTTATGCAATGGACAGTTTCATCTAAATGACAATAAAAACTTCCATTTTTGAGCTTCAAGTCCATTCTCTTCAAAGCCAGTGCCCTGTCTTATGCTTGCCTTGATTCTAAAATGGCCATAACCTGAGCTGGATACCTACTCCTACAAATGAAGGGACTCAAAAGCAGCATTTTTTTGCAATTTGTCCAGAATTACCCATCTGATGGGGATTGAATTTGGGTTCCTGTGTTTTAACTTCTCCAGGTGAAATCTGAGTTGGCCTCCTTTGAGACTTTGGTGATTTGTAGGTTTCCGGGTCCTCTCAGACCTGCTAAATCAGCAACCCAGGGAAGGAGGTCCACATCTGATGTTTGAGAATCTGTGGGGGTTGAGATAGTCTCAGCTGTGTAGACACCGTTGGACCTTATTCTGGCTAGTTTTATGTCAACTTGACACAAGCTAGAGTTGCTGGAGAAAAAGGAGCCTCAATTAAGAAAATGCCTCCATAGGATTAAGTTGTTGGCAAACCTGTAGGGCATTTTCTTAATTAGTGATTGATGGGGGAGGGCCCAGCCCATTAAGGTGGGAATAATACTCTTGGGCCGGTGTTCTTGGCTTCTATAAGAAAACAGGCCGAGCAAGCCAGTAATCAGCACCGCTCCATGGCCTCAGCATCGGTTCCTGCTCCCAGGTTCCTGCAGTGATGAATTGTGGTGTGGAAGTGTAAACCAAATCCTTTTCATTCCCAGCTTGCTTTGAGTCATGGTGTTTACCACATAATGGAAACCCCAACTAAGATAGGCCCTAGGTCCCATACTCAATACTTTCCAGGCCTCACACTCAAGCAACATCCCCAACACAGAAATAAAGTGTCCTAAAATGAAAGGGGTCTATCCAGGGGCAAGATCCAGAGTCTTATGTTTCATAATGGAGTTGGCAAAAGCCTGACCTGTGTCCTGTCCCCGGGCTCCACCGCCCTCTCAGAAGCACTTCATTAGGTACTGTTAAGGTCTCTTGAGCAGCAGCCAACACTCCAGTCGGTGACACCTGTATCATAAAGAGGCTGTAAGTCCTGTGCTTAGGTAACTGGAGTTACAGGAAGTTGAGCCACCTGATGAGTGCTAGGCATTATTGAACTTGGGTTTTCTGGAAGAGCAAACTTTGTTCTTAGGGGAAAAAAAGATTTATTATGTGTGTATGCCTGCATGTATGCCTGCATACCAGAAGAGGGCACCAGATCTCATTATAGATGGTTATGAGCTAACATGTGGTTGCTGGGAATTGAACTCAGGACCTCTGGAAGATCAGTCAGTGCGCTTCTCTCTCTCTCTCTCTCTCTCTCTCTCTCTCTCTCTCTCTCTCTCTCTCTCTCTCTCTCTCTCTGTGTGTTTTGTGTGAGAGAGAGATCCTGCAGATGTCAGTGTACTCAGCCTGAATGTGGAAATCAGAGGACAGTACCAGATGTTGACCCTCGGGCACCTCCACATTTTATTTGAGACAGGATCTTGTTGGCCTAGACTTTGTCTTATAAGCCAAGCCAGCTGACCCTTGAACTTCCAGGGAGCTGCCTGTCTCTTCTCTCTTGTCACCTTCTCTGGGCTCGCAGGCATATATATGTCCTCACACTTGCAAGCAGATACTTTCTTTATTGGCTGAGCCGTCGCCCTCACCCCTGGCCTTGAGCTTTTGATCCACCCACCTCCACCTCCTGAGTGCTGTAACTGAAGCCTGAGCTTGGTGTTTGCTGCAGTGGTTCAGAGACAGTGTCTTCATTGTTCCTAACAACCCTCTCCCATAGCCATCTTCAACCTGTCCTGGGAGCTGAGCAGGAGGAAGGGAGCTTGGCTTTTAAGGGACAGTAAACTCATCCTGTATCTTCAGTCTAAGAAATGACAGGAGTATTTATTTAAAAGCCTCTGGTGACTGTAGCAGGGAGTGTGAGCCCCACAGTGGATGGGAGTCCCAGGGCAACTGAGCAGGTGTTGGGTCCTGGACTGTAGTTCATTGGATGCTTCACACCACTTCTTACCAGGTGGTTTTGTGATGATTTCTTTAATGGTAGCAACCAGAATTAAATATTAAACATGGTGAGTAGTATAGGATGCTTTTTTTCCAGCTGTTCAGTTTTCTTTATTTAAACAAAGTTCATACATGATCCAAATAAAAATGTTCTATGTTCCAGCATGCTTGCTGGTCAAAGTACACATTGTATCAAGAGGTATTTTTTTTTTTAACAGAGTCTCTTAGTTACTGTTACACATTGCTGGGAAAAGACACTGCACTGTGACCAAGGCAACTCTTACAAAATAAATCATTCAGTTGGGGCTTGCTTATGTTTAAGAAGTTTAGTCCCTGATCATCATGGCAGGAAACAGACATGGCGCTGGTGCAGTGACTGAGAGAGCTCTATAGGCAGTAAAAAAATCCCAAAGCCTACTCTCTCCTGCAAGACCCTTCACCTCCTCCTACAAGGCCACACCTATTAGTCCTTCACAAATAGTTCTGCTAACTGGGGACCAAGTATTCAAACATATGAACCTATGGGGGACATTCAAACCACACCTGTCACTATGAAGACCAGGCTAGCTTCTAACTCAGAAATCCTCCTGCCAGTTCTGGGACCAAAGATGTGGGAAGATATGTTTTGATTGGTTGTCTTTTTTTTTTTTTTTTATCTGTTACATGTTAGGGTTGTGCTTTTGTCAGTGGATTTGTCTGCTGTGAAAATTTTCTGTTGACACTGTATTAGTCACACTTTAAAAAGTACAGATGTTAGCTGCATAGGTCGATAGCCATCTCTAGAATGTATGCCCACTGTCATGTTTTTGGTGCCATCTCCACTAGTGTGAGGGCAACAAAGAGAGCTGTTGCCTTCCACTGGTACAGCTGCATCAGAGTGTCTTCGGTGGGACATAGGCCAGAACCTTTGAAGGACAAGCACAGCTGAAGTGAAACTGACGTGCCTTTTGTGAAGCCTTGCCTTCTTATGTGAGGCTTTTAATAGCAGTACTTAGCCATCTTACTTATGGGAGTGGCTTGTAAATACTGGCAGTTGGCAGTTTTGGGTGGACCAGTGCAAGGGATGACCTACCCTGATCATGATTCCAGAGGCAGTAGATACGGTCTTTCATGCCCCTCTCCTTGGGAACATGGTGGCATTTCAGTTATGCGTATGTAAACTGCTTTAGTACAGGCTTGTGGCTGGTTGCATTTTATCATGTGTATCACATCTGACTGACAAAGACACAGATGCCCAACTCAATCTGGCCTAAAAACACCCCCTGGGATCTTTCCATCTGTGTAACAATTCCAGAAGTGCTGCCCATTCTGGGTATTGGAGTAACCCGGCTGGGATCTCTCCCTTCTGTCCTGCTTGTCTGCTGGCTTTCTCTCAGTAGACGGTCCCTTCTTGAGAGGATGGGACAGCAGCTGCAGCTGTGTGTTCTTCCAGTGTAGCCATGCTGGGTGAGCACAGCGTGCTCTGTTGGACGCATATGAAGCCATGTTCTCATTGGTCCAGACTGGGTCACCTTGAGCCAATTACTGACCGAGGTTTGTCCAGATTTGCATCTAGCGCCCACTCCTGTTCACTTGACAGGTCTGTACTCTCTGTGGAGCTATGGCAGGGGAGTCGGCAGTATCCAGAGTAGACTCTGCTAGGCCCCAGAGGCTTTGTGATTGGTGGGATGATGGATGCTCAGATTCAGACCCTGCTGCTGACTAGTTGCTTCCTTCCTGGTGTGCTGAACTCATTACAAACAGCTGGAGTGCTTCCCCTGTCGTCTGCATTCCTATTAAGGCTCAGGTTAATTCCATCTGCTATGCTAACTCTCTCTGATCTCTCCAGCCCAAATTTCTTCTTGCTTCTAACTAAAATGTTATCAGTGCCATTCATTTAAAAAAATGAACTAATAGACTGCTGTTTGGATGCCTTTGCCCATGATCTGTGTGTGTATTTCCTAAAATAAATAATGAATGTCTCTACTGGAAGGTTCTGTTCCTTGAAGCTGTATTG